TGGGAACAGAACTAGGAAGATTGAACGAGAGTTGCGCAAAACAAGGAGAGGCCTGGATGAGCAATGTGTGATCCTCATTATCAGCGGTTTACCCACATCCTGCTTGGACACACTAATGGCACCAATAACATGTACACTCATCCATTCATTACGGTGAAGAAACGACGGCTACGTCACACATTAGACCCAGGAGCCAGCCCAATTTGCAAGGCCTCGGCAGCACGGATAAGTTTGAGAGATATCCACACAACATGCTGGGGTGATCTTCTGGCCTCATCGATGCACCAAGGTCATTTGTATTCAGGCTGTTCGCAGAAGATCCATGGGCAGATTAGTGAGACTCAGCGTGAATACGAGATTCTACCGAGAAGCTTTTGAAATAGGTCGTTGTGTGATTTAATCTAAGAGAACAGCTTTGGTTATTCTGTTTACGAAAAGCTCTGTTAATGACAAGCCTTTGGAACCACGAATGAGCAATAGACACCAACATACCACACGCAACAAATAGAAAAGCCATGGGAATTTTTAAAAATAAAAAATACCCTTTCATTCCAAAAGTGTCATCTAGTTTTATTTCTGTTAGTCTGCATTGCCGGGAAAACTGCTTGATTATTTTTGAGTCAGCAAACGAACTATTCTTACCAACAGAGTGAAAGCTAAGCGGCCAGGTACTATAGAGGGCTGTCAGTCGATACGGGAAATGTTATAAGGCACCCTTGTCACGGGACCCACTTCAGATGAAAATGGCCATTTTAGAAACAAATAAAACGGACATGTGGATACTCAATATCCAAATGAAATTTTGCCAGCCGGGAGACAGATTATTTCTCCGACCACCACCGTAATCCGATAGATCCTACTAATCCATAAATACGGGGAAAGCGCAGCTGACCACATGATTCTAACGTGATCAAATATATCGCCTCTCCAGAAACGCCGATTCCACAGGGCGTCATAAACGCGTGGTTGTTTACCGAGCACCAGATCGAGTTAGTGGTGACTCAGTGTTACCTTAGGAAATGGTTAAATCAATCCAACCTGCAGGCAAAACCCATGTATATTGCCAACTGAGAAAAAACAAAGCATCATCTATAAGTCCGTCTGCCTGGTGCGATGTGAGTATTCGTTGTTCACAACTGACTATATTCATTCACTAACATTCAAAAGACTCGACGTCGACGGTAACTACGCTCGGAGAATACGTTAAAACCTATTTCTGTCCCCGAAAACAGCAATTCTGATTCAGCTGCACTCTTTAGTAAATCATGTCATGGCCGTGCATGTCTTTTAAAACCCCAATCCGCCATAAATCCTGAACAAGCTCTCCGGATGGGAAAGAAAACATCGGTCGGCGCCATTGCCTCCCCCGCTGGCGAGCACGGTGCGCGGCGGATCTCCTCCGGGACTCTGGTCTCTGCATATTTGATCATGTTCAGATATCTGCTCCAGAATCCATGCAGCCGACCTTCGGAGGCACCGAGCATAAACGCACATTGTAGTCTACAGAACAATGACGAATAAAACGATTCTGGGGGTACAGATAGACACAAACTAGTGATGAACAACGGTTTAAAGCACGGTAGCGTTACATGTGGTTTTCGCACACTTACTTGATTCAGATGCTTCTCCGTGTTGTCCCATACTGCTCGCGTGATTTTGTGCCGGGAGCGCTGGATGCTCCTCGCTTCGTGGAAAGGGGGAGTCCTCTGTCAGGCGATACCAGCTACCATTGGAGACTCACATTATTTCAGTAACGATACCAGAGGGTAAAACTCCACAGGGATGGACGGAAACAGCCGGAACACAGACGGCAGAGAAGGGATGGAAATCTGTGAGATGGCGGTCCAGTCAAGCGCGTTGTCTCTCTCTCCACAGCCAGCTAGCTAGGCTACATTAATGAGATTCATACCATGCGCAGCAATGCGAGAGTTCGCATGTGATGAATAATTCATCAACCAGGGCGAATCTATACTGCCGGGGACGTCTTATGTAATAAAAACGCCCAATGATCGCCGCGGCTGCAAAATTCTCCCGCTCCCATCTGCCGCAGGGTTTCCAGTAAATCTTACACCCCCCGCGGACGTGTCGCAACCGCGCAATGTGTCAGCGTTGGTCCTTTTCAGTACCCCAAAGTCTGCTTGTGGGAAACAGTGCCATTAAGTAATACGCACGTAGGCGTTGTTCCCCGCTTTTATAAAATCAGCGCAGTGACGTCAAACTTACACGACTTGTGTTTTGATCGGACTTTGGGGGAAAGCAGCAATCAAACTTCCGCTTCGACGTAAAGCGGCGGACGGATTGTCAACAGGCGACCAGAGGATTACTGACAAATTCGTCAACACGTCACGGTGTACGTGTTGTCGTCGCCAAGGCAGCGGGAGCCCGGCGTGTCTTCCGCTCCTGTCGGAATCGTGCCGCTTAAATGGCACTCCAGCATGCGCTTTGCCTTCTTTAAAACCACCGACGACAGGGAGATCGATCTGCCCTGAAAGGATTCGTGCGCTGCAGCTGAGATCGGTGACACGAACGGGGTCTACTGCCAAAGAGCTTGCGTGCGAGGAATAGTAGTCGTGTTCATGATACTTTTTTCTGGGCACGCAAGTATCGCTGACGACACAACATTTGCCGGCTGTTATGTCGTCTGTGACAAATGGTCTAGAACTACACCGTAAAATTGTTTTTCTATAATCACTTTCTTCCTGCATTTTCAATGTCGATAACTGTAACAGCAGAACATCATTTTACGTTAATAATTCGGGAATCTTTCCCTTGCAACAATCATCACAATCACGTCTTCATTATTTGTATGTTTATAACCAAGCCAAAAGGTTTTTGAAATTATCTCGAAATTACGTACACCATACCAGTGGGTTCAAGCCACGTACTTCAGTGTAGTGTTATGACATTGTTATTGATGATAGCAGTTACTCGGCGGTTACAGTTGAAAGTCTCTACCTTGTTTTTCGTTCTGTACGACCGAGTGATTGTAGATAAGTCAACTCTTGTTTCCCCCTGGCCATACAATAGTTACGACACAAAAGATTCCTCTATGCGCTTCATGATTCTCAGTATCACCAATGTGTGTTGAGATGTAGCATCAGTATACACAGTAGCACGGTGAGATAGAGATAAGACTCTAATTTCCTCACGACGTACGCATTATTTCGACATCAGCCAGTGATTCACAAACACATGGGGATGAAATCGCCCCACCGTGCAGGCCGTTGGAGCGATGAGGCCTTGCGGCGTGTTGGTGTTATCCGGATGACTTCTGTACGGAAATGCGTGCCCTTGCGCGCCGAATATCATGGAAATTATTACGATATGAATGCGATCGGGTGATAGGGTATCCAGGAAAATTAGGGCAGAAGGCCATCGGGACTGTACACGTACGTTCTACTGGGGAAATAAGAAGACGAAAGACAGGAATTAATGCGGAAGGCAAGGCAGGAAGTCAAGTGATATCTTGTACCATAGGAAGTAGATTGAAACAGTTATATACATGACATTTACAAACTGGCACTGATACGTTTGCTTTGTGTGGATTGTATTCAGCACCAAGGACAAGTGTTTGCCTGTGTGTGGATCGGAAGGTGTTCAGCACCAAGGACAGGCACGCGCACATGTGTGTGACGTGTGGTGTTCAGCACCATTGAACAGATGTGTTTGTCTACATGTATGTGGGCGGTGTTAAGTATCAGGGAAAATATGTGCCTGTGTATGGATGCTAGTGTGCCGGTATGTGGAAAGGTTTTGCCTGTATGTGGATATTGCAGATGATGTTCAGCACACCACGCATGAGCAAAACCAAGTTTGATAACCGTTTCGGTACCAGTTCGTGATGGATTTGAAGATTTTTGACAAAACACTTGTCCCATTGATGACCAAGTGAAGTCTGACCTTGTCTCTAGGGCGCCCGGCCGTGAATACTGGCCGAAAATAGCTGTCCGTGAGTTCAAGTTCAACTTGCTACTGCTGTTTACTTAAAATAGTGCGAGTGATGGGATCCGGGAAGCGGCACTTCAGGATGGATTGCACTCTGTGGGCGACTGAAGCAGTAGCAGTCCTCTCTGCTGAGTTGTGATGACTGTCACATGAGGGGGAGGCGAATGGTTACGTGAGCACCCGAGAGGTTTCTGAACTGGTCTGATAGTCTCCATCTGTTTTATTCCGCGGCCAGACAAATTCTATTCCATTGTAAACCATCCTTGGCACACAACAAAACACTTACGGATGAAATGCTGCCGATGATACATGGAAATTAAAGAAAAATGAAGCCATAACACCTACAGTACCTAACGGTCCTCCATCATTCTGTTGTATTTTCTGGTAACATGTTATGTTTTACCTGTACCGACATGTCCGCATAAAGTTTATTGCCCCGCACCACTTTCAGGACGTAAAAGAAAGGCTCGGACTAGTCTAGTAAGGTGGTAGATACATTGTGTAAATGTTTTCTGTTGTATTTTTGAATCAAAATCTAAAGCTTGAAGTCTTCACCCCCCACTATGCCGACCGTAGTCACCACCGATGCCGCTTTTTCATATTCCCCGCAGCTTCTAACCCACTAATGTCAGCAGACATCTGGACAGGGGGCCATTATTCTTGTCCCCTCCTTCCCCCGACCTCTGCTCCCTCTCTCAATCTTCTAAAGGGGTCAAGTTTGTGCGGTCTTCCTGTGGCTCGCGAAACCGCGTGTGGGCGGAACATGCGGGCTTCATCTTAAATGTTGACTGATTGCAGCGGAACTTAGACGAACCCGGGCAGCTACCAAGGGCCCACATCAATATTTCTTTCCAAGCACCATTCATTATTAAGGGACCGGATTGTCAACGAATGATTTTGAAAAATACTTTAGAAATTAGAGAGTATCAGCAGCATGGCTGGATCGAGAATAGCTACTGTAGATAGTGAAATATGTGCGGTACATTATGTGCGCTACAATTTACAGTATTGAATAACATTTTAGAATGGGAGTCACAAATGAAGAATGAGCGAGCTTTAGCTAATATTCTTTATTCTCAAATCACGAACACTACAACGTCTTGACAATAGGATTAGTGTTAAAACTTCTACCAGAAAAATATCACCGACTCACAGTAATGGTCCAAGTGTCGTCCTATGAACATCCACAACTTGTGCACAAATAAAGAGCAAGCAACACAGAAAATAAAGTTCTTGTACAGAATTCATTTCCTACAGATGGTTGTTCAGAAAAAAAGTAAGTACTGTGTAGATTCATATTTACTGTTTTGGTATTTCTCAGATTGGTATTTGGTAGTCTAGGTTATTGCTTAAGTGCTTCAGATGCTTCATTGAGGTGAACTTTATAAAAAAAATGACATGTCTACACATGTATATGTGATATCCCCAAATAGTGGCAGTGTGCTATATTAAAAAAATTCCTTTGCATTGTACTATCTCCAAACATCTCTAAATCCTCATCCCTATAAAACATTCAGATCTTAGGATTCATTCTAAGTTATTCAATCTTGTCAGACAAGGTAAGTACTACATCCAGAACACTATTTGCATTGTTAGATATACAGTCATGTATATTTTAATTCCAGTACTCACGAATTCATTTGAGTGGGTGCATTTTGTCAAAGTCTCTTTCAAACTGTGCATCTTTTTAAAGATCTACTTGCCCTTTGGAACGTTTTCTTACTTACACAACTTACCCCACAATTGATAATGGTACATTCCTATAGTCAATCATTGTGATTTCCAGTAGGCAGTAAGGCACTTGGGTGAAGAGAGCAAGCTTCACAGAAGCCAGCAGATACTGAAGTATGGTCTCAATCCCCCTGAATCCAAGTGTCAGCCACTCAACCCCTCATGTTTGCATGTACCTTTCAGAAAATAAAGACGACCTAAAAATATGAGCTTATGTCTGCAGTGCTTCTTTGGTTGAAGTCTTTACTAAAATAACTGAAGTTTGGATTCTTCCTAGTAATTGGAAAGTAGCGTGTTCCCTTATTAAGGACACATGATTAAGTGAGACAGTGTCTCTCATTTTTGCTGCCAGTTGTTTGATCTCCTCCTCTGTGGTGGCCTCTGTCTTCTGTTTGAGCATGTCGTCGCCGGCTGTGACGCCCCAGTTGTCGGGTTTGGAGCAGGAGGGGCAGAAGGGGCGACCGCTGGCCGGCTTCAGGTTCTCCCAGTACTCACGACGGGCCCTGAGGACAACAGGAGAAATCAACATTTTCAAACATTCAAACCTTATTAACATGCAATCAACCAACCATGCATTCTCTGAAACCAGATTGTGATGATTTTACAAACTGCATTTTTAGAATTGTAATTAAGATCAGAATATCATTAATGTTGCAATATTGATATATCAAGTAACCTGGCATTATACATGGATAGATCTTTTGGGCATTAAATGGATGATATTCGTAGTGTAAAGGAATTTTTGTGTCGGACTTAATTTTTATTTGTAACACTACTAACAGGTCAACAACTTTATGGGGTATGACACAGGTCCTGTACATGGATATGGTAAGTTGAGTTACTGTATATACTACTACAGTTACTACACAGATAATAAAATAATCTGGTGCAATTTTAGAAGTTTAAAAATAGCTCCTTAATGCGCATTATCTTGTGGACCTTAGGAACAGTATTCAGACTGCAGAACTTGACATGTCATCAACAAACCCTGATGAAGATTTGAGCCATTTTACCTGGCACGAACCCATGGCTTTGTGTGCAGACGCAGACCCAGTCCCCACTGGTCGTGCTTCTGGGAGCCTTCAGGCATGAAACCTCCCCTCTCCTTGCTGAGCTCCTCGCTTACCGCCCTGATGTGGTAGGGCTCAAACCCACAGCAGCCGCCTATATACCGGATCCCCAGCTCATATGCCTCACGGGCAAACTTCTGGATCTCCCAGCGGCTACACACGCGGGGCTCCAGTGCTGTAAGGAAAGAACAGAATAGACTTAATTTTTTTGTCTACTTTGAACCAGCCCAACAACAAAGATGAATTAACAGAATGAGATAAAACAGACGTATCCACATTCACAAAACATATTACAGTACATAAACCTGTGAAACATGTTATGTCAAGAAAACATATGTAGCATGTGAAACAGAAATAAATTTTTTTGGTTAAGTGCACGTGTACCTATTCCCCAAAAGGAATTTGGAGCCCTGTCATGTAATGAGATTGCGATTGATACAATTGATGCCAGCTCCCTTAGCTTTGTGCTGTAAATCTCCCCTGTCCACCACTTGAGCTTCCAGTCTTTTAATAAATACATGTGCGTTAACTTCTTTCGAAGCAGAATATTGAATTGCTACAAGGAGGGGAAACCTAGATAAGCTTTGAAATTGCCTCTGTGCTTCTCTAGGTTTACAGCACAGAGCCAAGAGGGTTGGCAACAAATGAATCAGGTAACATGACAGGGCTCTAAATACATTTTTAGGAATAACAGATGCACTGGTGCACCTACCCTAAAAATTTAGGTGCATATAAAAATTTTGGGGGGCACATTAAACATTAAGTATTTAAAATACTGTCAGCAAAACCTAATTACACACCTTAGGCCACACCAATTTAATTTGTTGGTTCTCGGATTTTTTCAGAAAAAATATGAAGCGACAGGGCGAGAAAAAAATAAAAACAAAAACAGGTCTAGGCATCCTATTATAGGCTTAAGAGTCATTGCACGAGAAAACCAGGCAAAACCAGGCAGAGGTCGGAAGATGGGGGTCGGCCAAATCGGCTCATACTTTGTATGTGAGATAGGTATGAGGAACTATTAACAGCCATATAGTTAAAACCCTCCAGGTATTTTTCGTTATGGTGTTCTGGGACCCCCCTCTGAGACCCTCAAAAACCTAACAATTTATGGCTAAAAATTACTGAAATTACAATGGACACCACGGTAATTCTGATAATGATATGAACATGGGGTTTCTTTTGTCACATAGCATGGGTCTTTTACTTTTACAAAACAAAAATTGAAGATGCAACATTGAAGTTAAAAGGGTATACCAGGGGGTTACCAGAACCAATGAAAACAGAATTTTCATCTTTCTAAATTTTAGTCATTTTTAAGTAGCTTTTTCTCCGTGACGCGGCAAATTTGATAAACGGTTTTACCGTTGCTGGAAAGAGGAACATCTGCTGATTCAAAAACAAGTGTCGTTTAATTCGGGCCACGCATAACGCGGGCCGTGAACGAAGGGTCTTTATGGGGGTTTTCCGGGTTTTGGACCATAATAAATTAGCTAACAACGTCTCTTTACGGGGTAAATCATGGGCATTTTTGTGCAGCTGCATGGGATCAATGATCAATTGTGGAAAAATGCTAAAAACAATTAGAAATATTCGTTGGGGCTCCACATGGGGGATACAAGGATACCTAAAAAGCAAATTTAAACTGATTTTACACAATTTATCACATTTTATTTCTAATTTCCATTAGTAACTACCTTTCAAAATAAATTTTGTGCATTCACTTTGTGCTAAATAATATGGAGGCTATGTATGGGGGTTATCACAACACCATGTGTGAAACTAGCTACCATATACACAAGCCGCATGTGTGCATGCACTTAGATACAAGTACTCTAAATGAACACTATAGCAACAGGACTAAGAATAAAGCTAAACAGAACCGTAAAAACAGGCAAATTCAACTGAAGGCCACTGAAAAAATTACTCAGACCATTTAGGATCGCTGTATAAGTCAGCAGTAGGTCGGAAGATAGGAAGGTCTTTGAAATCCACTCATACTCAAGAGGGGCGTTCTTTCCACAGTGGCTTTCTGAATAGTGAACAGTTTAGCATTTTCTATTTAGAATGTATTTTCAGCTTGTACAATTTGCTATTTACGAAATTATCATGAAATGAAAGACTTTTTACTTGGATTGTTTAGAAAACATCTCAAATGAACTGAGCATATCGTAAATGCCGTTAAGACCATATGACACCAAGGTGATTACCAAAGGCTGGAAAATAACAGCACTGAAAGTATACATTCAATGTAGTCTGGAGGTTGGTTTTAATCATATACTAGTATATTATGATTGAGAATTTTAGTTTGTACGGCGTTCCAAAAGTACATTTGTTGGAGACGCTCCTGCAAGCTTCGCAATCGTGACAATCTTCCGCCTCGGGCATCTCTTTTTACAAAACTTATGTTTGCAAAAATAAAACACAAAAATGCAAAAAGTCTGCCAGGGCTGGTTTGTACTGACTTGTCTGGGGTGCGGGAGCATGAAAATTTGGAATGTATCAGGAGAACTGTGCATATTTATTGTAAACGTCATTGGCCAAATCTTGATTTAAATATTCTAACTGCTAATCATCTAAGTGAAACAAAGTCAATCAAATTCATTTCATACTTAATTCTTATATCTTTAAAACATATCATATTATACATCTGTGATCTATAATGAGTTAGTTCTAGAGTTAATAATAATTTACTTACTAGATGTAACATATTAATACTAACTAATATCCTCCGATTCAAGCAAAGACACTCATACACCAAAAGAAGGTACAGGTTGAGCTGTCCTAGATATTAGTACAACTTTGTTTTTCGTTCTCATTTGCCAAAGTCTCAAAAGTACACATGTGGAAAACTAAAGCAAATGTCTACATGTCAACGTGCGCACAATGGTCTGTAGATCTAGAGAAAATGGTCTATTTTCAAAATAGGACCAGTGCTATAAGGAAATGAAAGTGTTTTGCTATGTGCTTTTAAATTGTTTTCAACCTTTTAGTTTTAGCACATTACATCATGAAATGAGACTTTTCATCTCTCGAGCTCTTAATTTTAGTTCCCCAGAAACAGGAACACTATCCTTGCAGGGTAGAAGACATGTTTCAGTTCATTCAGAAACAAGTCTGGTCTAATTACTGGACCACAAATCACACATAAATGGGCCATGGGTCTATAGATCATACAAATCGATCATAAAATGTCGCAGTGAAGGGCAATATATGGCCGTTTTTGTGTAGTTTGAGTAAAAACCATGCATGCATAGATTTGTGGTCAAAAATTATGCCAGTTTAAGGGGGCTCTGCATGGGGGGGGGGCATAAGGATACTTGAAAAATTGAATTAATCCAATGCTTGCATAATGACAATATCCAGTAATCTAGGCCTGAATTGTCATAAATATATCAAGAAATAGTCGATGATGGTACAGTCAATGATGGAGATACTTTTCTCATTTGAATTGATTGACATTATATTTTAATGCGATTCTTACTGGTCTGGGATTTTTATTTGGTAAAATTTATTGCTGTTTTGTTTTTAAATGACGGATTTTTTATTAATTGGTTTCCTTATCTTATACGCTGAGTAGAACCTGATGTTCCTGTATATGTAAATGCTAACTAGTTCATTTAATCCAATACTGAAAGCCTGAGTATATTTGGCAAACCTGTATTTTCAGTGGCCTTTAGTTGAATATGACTGTTTTTACTGTTATATTTAGCTTAAACGCATCATATTCTTAGTCCTATTTCTAGATTGTCCATTTGGAGTACTTGTATCTACGTGTATGCACCCATGTGGCTTGTGTTTTTTTTGGTAGCTGGTTTCACACATGGTGTTCTGATAAACCCCATACATAGCCTCCATATTATTTAGCACAAAGTGAATGCACAAAATTTATTTTGAAAGATATTTACTAATGGAAATTAGAAATAAAATGTGATAAATTGTGTAAAATCAGTTTAAATTTGCTTTTTAGGTATCCTTGTATCCCCCATGTGGAGCCCCGACGAATATTTCTAATTACTTTTAGCATTTTTCCACAATTGATCATTGATCCCATGCAGCTGCACAAAAATGCCCATGATTTACCCCGTGAAGAGACGTTGTTAGCTAATTTATTATGGTCCAAAACCCGGAAAACCCCCATAAAGACCCTTCGTCACGGCCCGCGTTATGCGTGGCCCAATTAAACGACACTTGTTTTTGAATCAGCAGATGTTCCTCTTTCCAGCAACGGTAAAACCGTTTATCAAATTTGCCGCGTCACGGAGAAAAAGCTACTTAAAAATGACTAAAATTTAGAAAGATGAAAATTCTGTTTTCATTGGTTCTGGTAACCCCCTGGTATACCCTTTTAACTTTAATGTTGCATCTTCAATTTTTGTTTTGTAAAAGTAAAAGACCCATGCTATGTGACAAAAGAAACCCCATGTTCATATCATTATCAGAATTACCGTGGTGTCCATTGTAATTTCAGTAATTTTCAGCCATAAATTGTTAGATTTTTGAGGGTCTCAGAGGGGGGTCCCAGAACTCCATAACGAAAAATACCTGGAGGGTTTTAACTATATGGCTGTTAATAGTTCCTCATACCTATCTCACATACAAAGTATGAGCCGATTTGGCCGACCCCCATCTTCCGGCCTCTGCCTGGTTTTCTCGTGCAATGACTCTTAAATGCTACAAGATGAGCCATGAAGTCAACACAAAAGGCTGGGTTAAAATTTAAACATTGAATTTTGAACTTTTAATCAAACCACTGCAATGATAGATGGGAAAACTGTAACAACTAGGAAGAAAAGGACTTTCCTCAACTGTTGGGGGCAAAACATGAGCATTTTTCAGTTGATTCAGGACCAGAAGCAAATTTTTTTTTTTTTGCAAATCAGAAAAAAACGAAGAGGCGAATCCGAGAACCAACAAATTAAATTGGTGTGGCCTTACCACCTCTCTTTAACTTACAAGCTTGCATTGGGAATTCTGTATCTAACCTTCATATTACATTTCTGGGGTGCCCAGAGCATGTAGATATGTCAAATCAGTATGGCCTAAGACTACTAGTTAACTGTGCCTGATAACTTACCGAATGGGAACTCTGGCAGGTCGATGAAGCCCTGCTTGCTTGCATCAGGAGTCATGTATGCCAGGGGCTGTACCATCAGGTAAGGATGGAGGTCGGCCTTGTCGAGCGCTGCCTTCATTTTCCTCATGCCCTCCAGGCACACAAACGGGTCAAAGTGGCAGTTGATGCCCACAATGTCGGCTCCTGGAGTCAAAGGCATCAATCATGTCAGTAATCTGTCAGGATGCTGCTGTAATCATGGGGAAAGGCCATGAGATAATCATTGAGGGCAGACCATTCACAAAAGGAAGACTTTTATCCCCCTTAGGCCACACCAATTTAATTTGTTGGTTCTCGGATTCGCCTCTTCGTTTTTCTTTGAAATAGGAAGACTTCTTATATCCCCAATTTATATACTAATAATTTTAAATCTGCACAACTGCAAGAAAGTGTTCTAACAGGCTTTGTAAACTGATGAGCTGACTACTAATCAATTTCTCATTGATAAAATGAAATGTGCTCAGTGCCAAGAGACCACTTTTAGGCACTAAGTCTGGGTTAATGGAAGAAATATATCTTCTCTGCACTAAGTCAGACACATCAATGCTCAAGTATGACCAAATGACCCAATGGGAGTAGCAGCTTCATAAGGCTATAATAGTATAATAATCTGTGACCCACCAGCCCGCGCCATGCGCACAGCACACTCCCCAGCAGACACCCCGTGCATGTCTCCCTCCGGCCCAATGCACATGTTGGCTGCCACTGGCTTCCCAGTCTCCTTCAGCACCTCAATGGCCCACTCCACTTCTTCCACATGCTCGTAGTACTGAACACAGGTGTTCATGTCATCATGCGGCACTTCATCAGATATAAAAGTGTTTGTGCTATGGTCCTTGGATATGGACACTTCTTCCACATGCCAGGGCTTAAAATCCAATTGTTTTGAATAGGTGTACTAGTGCAACTCACCTTATTATTTTTCTAACACTTACATGTAGATGCCAAGAATATCCTGTATACTATTATACATTTGATATGTACAAAATACAGACAAAAATATTTGAATGCACTGGTGCACCCACAGAAAAAAATTGGATGCACAGCTCCAATTTTGGGCGCAATAAGTTGCACACGCACCCAGTATTTTGAGCCCTGCTGCATTAACTGCTACTACCAAAGAAGTACATAGGAAATAATGGCAATGGTTTCTGAACGATGTTTAATGTGATCCATACTTTCTAAATACTGAGCGGTGCAGCTAAAACTTGTATAGTGCAGGTGATTTTCATTGTTATTTGCACTGGTGCAGGTATGCAGAAAAAAATTTCGAGCCCTGTATGCACATGGCAACGTGTGTTTTGAAAGCAATCCTCCCACACTTTTACAGCACTCAGCAAGAGTAGAGCCTTCCTGTCATCAGTGCTGCACTTTATCCTGTATGATTCAAACTACCTTTTGAGCTTATTACATGTCACGTGTATGGCAACAGTGTACGTCTACAGGTATTTGCTAAAAATACTGAAACACGAATGAGAGCATTTTGTGTCATCAGTGATGCACTTCGCGCCTTAAGTGTCTGTGCACTTGAGTTGGCACATGGCAACAGTACACACACTAGATGATCAAATGCTTGACGTTCTGAAGTTTTCATGCCAGACACCTTACACGTGTCTGGGCATTCGTGTTTAACTACCCCCTAGTCTGAACATAGCAACAGTACACGTGTTGGAGAGGCCTACGCAGTCGTCACTGACGTAGGAACAACTTGCCAAGGATCAGTTATTCAGCCCAATGACGCTTGGACCCTGTAGTCACACAGCTCACATGCAGAAATTAATGCCAAAGAGCTTCTTTTCCTTTTAAAAGAACTAGACCCTTAAGCTTTAAATGCAAGCAGATCATGTGTCACATGGATTAGAAAACACTTTAAAATTGGAAGCGTGCCTAAGTGCATGTTGGGAAAACAGACAAATGTTTCCTTGCAAGCTATTTTGTTCAGTAGAAAAGTACAGCATCTACTGTGATAAATAAATAACTTCTTTTGTCATTCTCAACTGAGGTGAACCATCATGCTTGTTCAAGTAGCTACTAGTGCAGTGCGTCTTTCCTACGGCTTGGGTATTTAGCCAAGCACACCAGGTCACCCCTACTCTTCTGGATTATTTAGTGTATTGGGTTCTTTACATGCAGAGATTTGACACCTTAACTCCCTCATAGTCATACAGTCATACGGGTCTGCCACTTTTATATTTCCATCTGAAAGGGGACATGACACATCCATCTACTGTCCTCCCAGCCCTTACACAGTCTGGGGTAAACTATCTACCTCAGCAAGCAGGAAGTCCACATCGTTGGCGACAAAAATCTTGATTTGCTTGCGAAACTCGGCCTGGACGGCCTCTTTCCCCTTCCCACTCAGGTAGGTTGGGGTCTGGGAGATGCCGCCGGCAACAAGGCAGCCGCCCTCGTCTGCAACCTCCTTGGCTATGTCGCATGCCGCTTGGTTGATTTTGGACCCCTTTTGAAGAAGAAATGGCAAAATGATGTCATGCTGAACCAGAAAAAATGGTAGAATGTCTTCTTTCCGCTATAAAAAAGACTTTTTAAGGTATATTTACTGATTTTTTTTTGACAGCATGTTTACATCTTGAACAAGTTGTCCTTAACATTTTGGTGAGCATGTACCATTTGGTGAGCATGTATCATGGCTGTGAGTCTTATCTGCAGTATACATAAGTTTGATATAAAAAAACTGATATTTCATATTTTTATTCATCACTATTGAATTTTCAAACTTCCATGTGGCCCTTTACCATTGGGTCTGCTGTTTTTAAAGGAGGTGCACCACAGATTAATCTTCATTTCTAGTAATTCTACACTCTGCCCACGTACTGTGTGAGTCTTGTTGGCGTAGTTTCCACGGTTTTCCAGCTTGTCGTCGCTGGCGTAAAAGGTGAACGTCTGACAGACGTCTGCACCAGCACGAACAAACTCACGGTGAAGCTGGCGGACTGTTGGCATAACAGAGAAAAAAATGTTTAAGAAACCGTCTATACTGAATTTGTGAACCACACTGCAAGTTCATAGGGCTTACAAGTCCTGACAGAATGGTCTATACTCAGTTCAGACTTGCAGCTAACTTGCCCCAGAGTTTGGCATACTTACCAAAACTGCCGAATATGTCACAACTCCCCCTTTTCCTGAGAAGAGATCTTTGACGTTATAATGCTAGGTAACTGCTTTGTACAAGGATACGTAACTTAAGATACAATCGTCAGTCTACGTTGTCTTTGCTGTAAGAGAGTAGAAAGTCCTGGTGAAACAGATCTACATGTATGTTGTGTACATCTTAATATGCCGTTACACTACCTCCAACAAGAAGGTAGCTTAAAACCTTTCTTACTCTGCTGAGCTCACGGTCATCGTATTTGGCAACAAGTTCAGGCAGACTGCTACAGAACAACAGCCACCATTCTGCCAGAAGCTTTGGAAAGGATATCGAATCAACAATACCAAAGTCAAAACCCAATTTTCAAAAAGATAAGCATGTACATCTTTTGTATCTGTTCACTTCCTCTTATTCTCAAAACACTTGCAAGTTGAGAAAGTTTCACTTGCCATCCCTGTTCCATGTTAGTTATTGCAAGGGAGGGACAGAGCCCATCACCCTGTATTCCCATCACCAAGTATCCCTTGATTCAGGTGATACGTCTGCAACTTGGAGACTCTTCTTAACCGTGCCTCCACTGGCCCTGGTCTGTGCTTGGTGTCCTGTTTGCTGAAAAAACAAGCAGAAGAATTTTTTGTCTTGAAAGCAGGGGACAGGACGTTCTCGTTGCAGTTGAGTTCCATCCCTCAGAAGTAGACAGACCTGTCAGGGCTGCTGTTGTGGCATTTCTTCTGGAAAAATAAAGTATGCAATCTGCACATCACAATCATGAAAGGACAAAAACGTAAAGGAAAAGAAACCATTACATTAAAAATACTTGTACTTTATATTTCTAGACAATTTATCAAAACCACTAACTCTAAGTTTCAGTGTAACTGTAAGCTTTATGCATTGTAAAGGCACCTAAAAATGTATTGTTAAACATAAAAATTATCAGCCTTTATACAAAGGTGCAAAACCATGCAGTAGTCTAATCATTACTAATCCAGGCTCTGGAGCAGAAAGGTTTACACATCAGACTCAGAGAATTGAACCTTGATTTGCATGCTGTGGTAGGGTTGCAGACTCCTGAGTCCTGTAGGTTATGTTGTAAGTTGTCAACTCCTTAAGACAATGTATTGTCAACTCCTTAAGACAATGTTTTGGCATGCCTAAAGCTGGAAAATCAAGTAGTTCTCAACTCTCACCACAGCTTGCTCTTACCACCAAACAAATCTGCACTCACTAACAAATTAGCCCTCAAATGGCATAACACAGCAGTTTACCAATCATACAGATCACATTCAAAAACATGCCAAGAGTTACAAGTTTTAAGATGCTTTTCCAGAATCATGCAAACCGACAGGTGTGAAGTTAATCCCACATGGGTCAGTTGTTTTGCTTACCAGCCTCAGGGTGCTCGACAGTTGCCTCAGGGGTCCATGGTCCCGCCTTCACGTAACCGCGCTTCTCCAGGGCAAAGACGAAGCCGCCGTCTCCCACCACCACTCCCTCCTTCAGCCTCTCCAGAACGCCTTTCTTTGGAGCACCGTTTGCCTGGTACAAATCAGAAAGAAATCTTTCTCAGGTGGTATTTTTAAGCCCTGCTTCCTTAATGTTGTTTTCTTAGCTAAGAGTAAGAAGTGATGACTTAAAAGTTGAGGCACTGTATTTCTGGTTCTTGCGATGTGTTATAGGGCCATGTTGATTTGATTATATGGATGACATCCTCCGGGAACCCCAAAACTGGTGTGAAGAAAAGAAAACTTTGGCAAAAAAAGTTGCCTTCATTATAAATCTAGGTGGTCATGAAGGTTGAATAAATGACTTAACACACAGAGCAATATTTTATTGGCATGGTGAACTAGAGTTCGATGATCTCATACCTCCATGACATGTGTATTGTTTTCATAAATCTTTCGCATGGCGATGACCACCTGTAATTGGATTACATTTTTCACCGCATATATTCAAATCATATGAGGCCATTTGCATATATTGTATCAATTGATCATACTCTCCACCAAATGACAGGGTTATCTTAAGAAATAAGGCTATTCTAGCGTTTCCTCATAATTATGCAAATGAGGTCCTGATTGACATAAATTATGTTTAGTGATGTTCACCTTCACTGAACTTCCAAGTATGGCAAGTATTAAATTCCCAGCAGTTACCACCATAAAATTGTACCAATTTGCCATTTATTATGCAAATTAGGTCTTCCTTTACATTATCGATATCTGCCAATGATCNTATTCTCAAAACACTTGCAAGTTGAGAAAGTTTCACTTGCCATCCCTGTTCCATGTTAGTTATTGCAAGGGAGGGACAGAGCCCATCACCCTGTATTCCCATCACCAAGTATCCCTTGATTCAGGTGATACGTCTGCAACTTGGAGACTCTTCTTAACCGTGCCTCCACTGGCCCTGGTCTGTGCTTGGTGTCCTGTTTGCTGAAAAAACAAGCAGAAGAATTTTTTGTCTTGAAAGCAGGGGACAGGACGTTCTCGTTGCAGTTGAGTTCCATCCCTCAGATGTAGACACACCTGTCAGGGCTGCTGTTGTGGCTTTTCTTCTGGAAAAATAAACTATGCAATCTGCACATCACAATCATGAAGGGACAAAAACGTAAAGGAAAAAAAAAACATTACATTGAAAATACTTGTACTTTCTATTTCTAGACAATTTATAAAAACCACTTACTTAGTTTCAGTATAACTGTAAGCTTAATGCATTGTAAAGGCACATATACATGTAAATGCACTGTTAAACATAAAAATTATCAGCCTTTATACAATTACAAAGGTGCAAAAGCATGCAGTAGTCTAATCATTACATCATCCAGGTTCTGGAGCAGAAAGGTTTGCACATCTCAGAGAATTGAACCCTGATTTGCATGCTGTGGTAGGGTTGCAGATTCCTGAGTCCCATAGGTTAATATGTTGTAAGTTGTCAACTCCTTCAGACAATGTATTGGCAACTCCTTAAGACAATGTTTTGGCATGCCTAAAGCTGGAAAACCGAGTAGTTCTCAACTCTCACCACAGCTTGCTCTTACCACCAACCAAATCTGCACTCCCTAACAAATTAGCCCTCAAATGGCATAACACAGCAGTTTACCAATCATACAGATCACATTCAAAAACATGCCAAAAGTTACAAGTTTTAGGATGCTTTTCCAGAATCATGCAAACTGACAGGTGTGAAGTTAATCCCACATGGGTCAGTTGTTTTGCTTACCAGCCTCAGGGTGCTCGACAGTTGCCTCAGGGGTCCATGGTCCCGCCTTCACGTAACCGCGCTTCTCAAGGGCAAAGACGAAGCCGCCGTCTCCCACCACCACTCCCTCCTTCAGCCTCTCCAGAACGCCTTTCTTTGGAGCACCGTTTGCCTGGTACAAATCAGAAAGGAATCTTTCTCAGGTGGCATTTATAAGCCCTGCTTCCTTAATGTTGTTTTCTTAGCTAAGAGTAAGAAGTGATGAATTGGAAGTTGAGGCACTGTATTTCTGGTTCTTGCAATGTGTTATAAGGCCATGTTGATTTGAATATGGATGACATCCTCCGGGAACCCCAAAACTGGTGTGAAGAAAAGAAAACTTTGGCAAAAAAAGTTGCCTTCATTATGAAATCTAGGTGGTCATGAAGGTTGAACAAATGACTTAACACACACTGACAGAGCAATATTTTATTGGCATGGTGAATAATAGATTCTTCATTTTCATTCCTTCACATTTCCTTATTGTCCTTTGCAACATGGAGGTAGAAAAAAAGAGATTTTTTCTACCTCCATGTTTTCTACCTCCCTTGTAGAATGTCCTTGTCCTTTGGAACGGATTTTGGCATTCTGCAACATTATTGTTCTCCAATATTTCTTTTTTGATATACGGCATATATTTGCTCATGTTGCAGCTGCTCTGTACGATTTACAGTGTGGTCGTTAACTTTTTTGGGGGGAAACAGATGAAAATTCATGCGTGTATGGATATCATCCATATAATCAAATCAACATGGCCTAAGTTTAAGTAAAAAACACTGCAGTTATTAGCTGTCGGAGTTGTTAACATTTTTGTCAGCAATCTCACAAAATCTTCTAGAGTCTATTTGTATGTCAGCAATCCTAGTATGTGTGCACTGATGCCACCTTGCAACTCTAATGCCAACTGCAGCTAAAAAAAATGGCCTTAGAACATGATTTTCAATCCTTCATTAGTGGCCAGAAAAAAAGTGGGCCTTTACTGGAGAAAACCATCAGTACTACCTGTTGCCAATGCAATTATCTAACAACTCACATCATTGCATTAAAAGCGGGAATTAATGCCTAGCATGTCAGGTTACTGACATGATGTTTGCTTTTGATCTTTGATGCCCCAGGCAAAAATTTTCACACTTTAAATTTTAATAGCTTCACCACCCTTCATCCCATCCCATCATCAGATTTACCTGGCTAGACATTACCGGAGACCAAGCAGTCACTTTCCTAACTTTAGGCTTTTCGTAAATCTTGCTTTTGAAGTTTTGTGGAGTAAGTTATGCCATGCATATCTTACTCCTGGTGTTACCCTGCCTTCTTATATGTTGACGAGCTCCATAAGATTTGGGAGCTTGAAACACCAGTATGTGCACAAAATATAGCAGGATTTACCAAAACATGGCACGTACAATGTAAGTGTAACTACACTACTGTTGTTCATCGCCTAAAGCAATCACTACCGGATATGACTATCTTTTATTGTCATCATTCGGACATCCACTTATCGTATAGCGCATCAGTTACTGACTTTCTTATATTTACAATAGGCTGTAAAATGATCCCAATCCAATTTGTTGTCATACCACAGTTGTATTTGTCCCATTGGAGCAAACAAAGCCTTATCTTTCATTGCAAACAAGTGAAACAATGCATTGGACCAAACTGGTCTAAGCTGGTTAAGAAGGGCTGCACATGCACACTCAGCAATATTGCAAGTTGTACATTGTTCCAAGGACATTCCTTCACATATATTGGTATCCTGATTCCAATGGCCACCCTGCTAAAAGTCTGCACAGGACTCAGGCTACATGTAGCTTGTCCTATCCTTCACGCCGCATCATGCGGCATAGTCCATGACGACTTTGCTATCTGTGCAAACACAGTTGTTCCATTATGTTCCCATAGATATCCTATGGAGATCTTGATCCCTGTCCCCTCAAAGTCAAATGACATCACTGTCCCCTTCACTGCTGGAGGTTTGAATGGGGGCCCACAAGCCCTTTTCCGTAGAGCGTAATCGGCCATTTTAATTCTACGTAGAGCGTAGACGGACCGCTCTAATATTTTTGCGTAGAGCGTATTCGGCATTTTAATTCTACGTAATGCGTTGTAACCACTTGGAATTTATCGTAAAGCGTAATCGAGGGTTTCCGAATTCAGCGTAGAGCGTTGTCGGGAGCCCCCCCTGCAGGCCCTCTTGAATGTGCTCATTGGGCCTTAACAGGCAAAGAGCTGTTTGTAGTTGTACTTATATATACCACTTGGGCATTGTCTGGATAGATTTTTGGGGGGAGAAACGTTATGCCAGTAGCGAGGAGATCCAGGGTGCCGACTTGAGCCTGGCGGGGCGTATGACTTTCGTGACAGAATGTCAGAAGATTATCATAATCTCCAAGCAGATCTTTTGGTGGGGGTAAGACAGTATCAAATTGGCCAGTCTGTAACCATTTCCCCACCCAAATTGGTGGTGGTAGCTACAACAAAAAAAGGCCATATGTAAAAAGCTAACGATCTTCCACCATCAACCTCTGCTTGGAGAGTAGATTATCAATATCAGTCACTTGCGAAAGGGGCACCTACTTGGGCAGGGAGTACACGGAAGTTTATTTTATACCTAGATATACCATGTATACAGGGATATGTTTCAGAAAAACAGCTGATACAGGGCAAAAAAAACCCGCTGATGTAAAGCTTATATTCAAAATGTAACTGGAGTAGCATTGTGACTGATTTATTTACTGAGCTGGGCGTCACACCCTGAGCGCTCCCCCAACAAAAACATCCCGGCACAGAACTGGTCTCAGCCGGTTCCCAAAGCTAACACCAAACAACAGCCGGTAATACCGCTGGCTTGGTCGATAACTGCAGGGAAATTCTATCATGGAAGCTCCTTGATAAGAGGTACTGTAACTCTCCATATTCAAATTTCAGGCATTAAACCAACGTATTTCCGACTTTTATCAGTCCTGTGGCCTTTCACCCAAGGCTCTTCAATCGTTCAAATATCCCGAGCAAAGACCTTTTGTGAGGAAAAAAAAAACACTTCTGATGGATCTAAACTTGAGGCTGGACTGGCAAAATCCCAATTTGTGCCAAAAATTATTGAAACTGGGTCAAGAGTACGACCAAGAGTACAGACAAAATATATTTTTACGCTCTATAAAGGTCACCCGGCAAGGTCAAAAGAAATATTGTTCAAAATCCGCCGGAATACCGCGCAAAAGCTAGCAAAGACTTGAAAGAGGGCAGTGAAGAAGAAACGGTGGAGAATATGATAAATCCGTCGGGGAAAACAGCCAGCTATGCAGTATACGTAGATTGTAGAGTGATTCGGCCTGTGCTCGCTACGCGGGGAAACGAAAGAAAAAATCTGCCAACGCGCATCCGGAGGTGGCGGCAAGACGGGATGAATCAAAATTATTACATCAAAATTACGTTTACCATAAAAACATACAACAACAACTGCCGTAATTAACTATGGCGCTATATATAATCACAGAATGTAACGGTATGTAGCTGTACAAATTTTGAACCATCTATCTTTGCCCACGACAGACCGGCTCAAACCGGTGGGCCGGTGCTTCGGGCGCCGGCTGCATATTGACACTCTGAATGCACACACTGTACGGTCAAGTTCATACCCCAAGAAACAACACTCTCACAATGGCCTACTTTTCAATCTGACGGAAGATAATACCTCAGACATTTTCTCGCAGACGTGTGGATAAGTGAGAGAAGTTGAATATTGGTCCCGCTGGGATCTCACTTTCACCATGCGCTTGCACCAAGCACGTCCTTTCCTCAGGGGCGACGAAGTCGAAAACAACCAAGCGCGTTCGATGGAGAACCGAGTACAGCGTAATATTATGCAAATCACTTATTCTCACTTCTGATTGGCTAAGCGAAAGACCCCGCCCACAATCCTTGCGTCATACCGCGGGAAAAAATAGCAGATGGTTGTTCTGTTTAGCATCATTACTCCCCAAATAGGAAACACAGTTCCACATCTTTTCTTAAGATACAAGCTAAATGTAACATGTTCTTTACAGCATAGACAAAATGTTTATACTGTTTTAATTGTGTATTGCAATTTTTTGTCTTTTTTTGTGTGTAGTAGTAGATTTGGCTTGTGAGGTTAATATCCTTACGTGGGTGCATCTACTAAACAGAATATCGTCAACAATCCCGCGTGTTTTCTCGGATCGACAAAAACAACGTCCTTGCTCAGGGTGGGGGCCTGGGCCGGCTCGAACCGGCGGGAACCAGAAACGGTCGGTTTACAGGTCGGCTTACAGCAGAGTTATTTTGGAAAAACAGCGAGGTCAGCTGTTGCCTATCAAGCCCTGCCTTTGTGCAATGTAGCCTCAGGAACTCGAGAAAAAAAATTATACGACAAACTTGTAACGTTATATGTCTTGGTAGTGGTATCATTCAAGAAAGGTGTTGCAGTCCAGTTATTAAACTGTATACCATCTTCTTGTAACGGGAAGAAGTATCGGGTATCTTTTGACTTCTTTCGTGCAGATCAGCAGCAACAGCTGAACTCGAGCTCGAGTAGCCTCACCCTTTTCAAGATGGCTAGCGCAATCATGCTGAAGGGACTGAGTTTGGCGGCGGCGGCGGTGAGAGGGGGATCCCGCCCGCAAAGTTTGTTCGCCGCCTGCAAACTGCACACGACCTCTTCGAGTCCAAGCACAGCGAACTCCGAAGACAGGTAAGTTCGCGTTCGATAGCTCTCGACTCGTTCAACTTGCAAGAGATCGGAGGCATTCATAACTATCGGTGTTGTTTTCATCGTGGGGGCGGGCGGTTTAGGCTGGTATCCAGCCTAGCCGTGGCGACTCTTGATTCGGGCTTACATTGCATTACCCTCAGCTGAGGGTAATGCAATGTAAGCCCGAATCAAGAGTCGCCACGGCTAGTATCCAGCCATGCTTTAGAATCGCCAGACAAATTATGTAGCGGGCTGTTACAGATTGCGTTATCGGTCCCCACAAGCACCCCCAACTAAATTATATATAACAGGCCCTCTCCCGCAAGCAGCATCATGACCTTTTAGAGAGTATGCTTGGTCGGTCCGTCTATTTACAGGAATTTACTGAAATACGCCGGAATACATCGGAATTCACATTAGGAGCCAAGAATCTACCGGAATACACCCAGCCTTGATGAGATAATACCACACGTTGCTGTATTATTTTGATAACTTATATGTGGAACAAGAAATCACCTAATAATGGTGTCAATAATGAATCGGCAATTGGCGGAGTTGACCTGGCTAGTCGCCATGTTTGTTTACATAGCGTACTACAATATGTTTGTCCAGTGCGAGCAGAGAAGTGAAATTTACCGAAATAAAAAGTTATTATATACTAAAATACAAACATTGCAGGTTGCTGTATTTTGACCATAAGAATTAAGATGACTTATACATGGGCCAGGGAACAGTATATCACTTTATGATGAATCAGCAATCAGCGGAGGCAACCCGGCCAGTCACCATGTTTGTTTACATAGCGTACTACTAATATGTTTTTAATCTTGGCACACACAACAGATTGACTATAAAAACTTTTTATTGTGTCATAATTAACAAAGGTTTAATAATTGAACAAAGTATCAAAGCGCAAGTTCACCGCTTGTATCATGTTGAACACAAGCGCATGCCTCTTGTTCTCTGGGCCAGGTATGAGTTATCTTATACCAAAACATGCCGGTAGCCAGGACTTTGAATGGGGGGGTTCTTCCCACTGCTTGATGGGACCTCGAGCGCCGTTAAGGCGCCAGGTTCCTAGGGGGGTCCGGGGGCATGCTCCCCGGAAAATTTTGAAAAATGCACCTTCTAAAATGGCATTTCGTGAGTTTTTGAGAGGATTTCAAAGAAAAAATCAGAGATAAATTTTTATTCAATGACAAAGGGAGCAGTTTTTCTACAATTCCAGTCTATCTTTTCAAGAAAAATCTTGGCCCTTTATATAAAAAGTGGACCTTAACATAAAAAGTGGACCAAAAAGTGGACCTTTGAGCCTTGTGGGGGGGTTCTTCTGAACCCCCCGGGCTGGCTACGGGCATGCAAAAACACTGCAACTTGGGGTGTTGTGACTCATCAAAGCTGGGTGTATTCCGGTAGATTTCAGCCTTCTACATGTATGTTCCAGTGTATTCTAAATATTCCGGTAAATAGGCGGACCCCTATTTGGCAGCCATAATGTAAGTTAGGATACTTAGGCCAGGGAGATTGTATTTGATGACTAACATCCGTGGTCGATTGTTCAAGATGATTAAAAGTAAACATCATTTTCTGAAAGTTGAAAAAAAAACTTTCTGAAAGTTGGACATTGATTGTTCAAAATGTTTCTTAATCTATTAGTACAATATTGTATTTACCTTTGTATGCCATAGACTTAATATGAAGAATGTGCATTTTGGACATTTATACATGGTTATAAAATTATGATGATGTGAAATAACCCATCTGCAAATTCCAAAACAACCACAATATCTTCTCCAGAATAAAGTGAAAAGTGCAATATTTCCTAAATGTATTATGACAAAAAATACCCAAGAAGGCCACCCAGGGGTAAAGTTGTCTTGGACAGGTAGCCTTCTTGGGCACGTTACTTAAAATGTTAACGGCTATGGATAAAAATTTTGAAATTCGGGAAAGGTGGCTGTTATGATCAGGTGGTCAGTTGAAGAGGTAGCTGTTAGGTCAGGTTTGACGACTCTTCGATCTGCAGTGGCCACGTGTCTCTGAAAGGAGGAGGACCACCTGCCTCTATCAACACCTTCTACAAGCTAGTGCACAACCATATTAGTATACAAACTGACAGCCCTTATTAACAGCCCAGGGGCACACCCAGAGCAAACACCTGAAATTCGAACCTTTAAATGGTAGAACAGACACAAAATACTCCCCCCCCCCTGACCATTCCCCAGTGGAATCCCTGCCTGCTTGTGATGGCTTCCATCAGTTGTTCCTACTTAGTTGGTCCTAGCTCAGGACCTTAACTCCGCGCCCCCCCCCTACACACACTTTGCCCTAGTGATGATGATGGCTGTATTAAAAATTTTCCAGGGCAACTTCAGGACCACTTGGGAAGCGTCTGAAGGACCAGGCAGAGACGGTGATCATTGGGGGAGGATGTGTTGGGACCAGTCTGGCGTACCACCTGGCCAAGGCCGGGCAGAAGGATGTGGTGCTGCTGGAAAAGACAGAGCTGACGGCTGGGTCAACATGGCATGCGGTAAGGGAGGGTCTGAGGCCAGGGTTGGACTGATTGGGGAAGCGCGTCTCCCCCTGGACTTGCCCTCGTATAGTTTATTTGTTTTGAATAACTGGTAGACATATTGAATCCAGTTCACCCCACAGCATGTGCTATGGACATAGTACACTCAACACCCGTCAACTCTAGATCTGATACCTGTGAGCCAACTTTTGTGTGTGCTTCAATGAGTCCTGCAGAGACCTTCCACTGTGCAATTTGTCAGACAGGTTGCCCAATGCCCCCTCTGGTTATTAAACACACCTATATTTTGGTATGCAACAAAAGCTGCTGACAACTAACAACTAACTGTTTTTACATCCTGTTTCTTTTAATATTCTTCTAAAATTGTTTGAAGTTACAAAAAAACACTGAGTACCAGTGGATCTGAGAGATTTTCCTCTGTAGAAGGTTGTGAAGGTTTTACATACTGTGTATCAGAATTATGCCAAGCTAGTTTATACTAGTTTATAGGCATAGGACATACATGTAGATAGTTTTGTTAATGAGTTTGGAGTTTTTATGTTTTTGTAATTGATATGGGCCAACATAAACATAAATTGCACAGTTTTAGACATCTACATTTAACGTTACATATAGCTTTGGTCAGACTTATAGTTATACTCGGACGATGATGATGATGATAGTTATACTAGCCTGAAATGTTTCATGTGTTGTCACTTTTCCTGCTAGGCTGGCCTGACCACACTGTTCCACCCAGGTATCAATGTGAAGAACCTGCATCACTATAGCATCTGGCTCTTCAATGAGCTGGAGAAGGAGACAGGGCAGGTGAGATGTGTGGAGCTGTCATTCTTGTATGATTTTAGTGTTATTAAGATTAACCTAACTGATAGCAATGTTGTGGAGAGGACCCACCTGCATGGACACAGAACTAAGGCCACACCAATTTAATTTGTTGGTTCTCGGATCTTTTCATAAAAAATATGAAGCGACAGGTGAAAAAAATGAGGTGTAGGTCCTATTATAGCCCCAAATGCTATGATAGGAGCCATGAAGTCAACACAAAGGGCTGGGTTAAAATTCAAACAATCAATTTTGAACTTTTAATCAGACCACCGTATTGATAGATAAAAAAAAAACTGTAGGAACTGAGGAAGAAAAGGACTTTCCTCAACTTTTGGGTGCAAAATATGAGCATTTTTGACTTGATTCAGAACCATAATCTTTTTTTTTGCAAATCAGAAAAAAAAATGAAGAGGCAAATCTGAGAACCAACAAATTAAATTGGTGTGGCCTAAGGGAGGCCAATGAAATGGTATGGAACTGGCTGGAAAGCTATTGATAAGCTACGATGATGATGTTCTTACATGTACCTTTTTCCAGATTAAAATCTTCAGTGACTGAAGTGTTTTCTTCAGAATGTAGGTTTCCATACGCCAGGAAGTATCCGTATCGCGTCCACGCCCACACGAGTGGACGAGTTCCGGTACCAGATGCAGAGGCAGGGCTGGAACAAGGCGCCGCAGTGGCTGCTGACACCAGAGGAAGTACACCAGATGCACCCTCTCCTCAACATGGATAAGGTACATTATAAAATACGGATAGTCTTATCATTAATAGTAAAAGGTCATAATTATTCTAGGTCTTATACATGTATGTATAGACCAGCAGGGTTCCATATACATTAACTTGTTTTCTGCAATCTATTGCATTTGAGTAAGATGAACAAACTGTAATATTACTCTTGTTTTATAGGTTTTGTTGGGCCTGTACAACCCTGGAGATGGCCACATCGATCCCTACTCCCTCACCCAGGCATATGCCATTGGTGCCCGGATGTACGGGGCAGACATCTACCAGAAGACCATGGTGATAGGCCTGAGCATGCGCAGTGATGGCAGCTGGAACGTGGACACACCTCATGGCACCATCCATGCACAGAGGGTGGTCAATGCTGCTGGTAAGGTCTGACCTGCAGATTGCTATAGGCTGGACAATCTTGATATTTTTATTGTTTTAGCCTCCAGTTGATGTCACTCTTGAAGAAAATCTGTGCTAGAAGTAGAGGTGCTTGAGGAGCTATTTTCAGATGTTGCATGTCTGGTTTTTGCATCTGTTCATGTATATGTACATTGTATGTATGTAGCTGGTCTAAATGCCCTTCAGCTTAAGTCTGCAGGCACACAGCGAGCGTGGCAGCAGCTGGTTACATGTAACACTGAATGACCTGTCACATCTAAACTTTGCACATTTACTAAACTGCAATGGTTGTTTGTTTAAAGCAAACTGGTGAGGTTACCCCTACTGTACTTGGTTTGTTAAATTCTAAATGTGTCATCATCTTCGCCCTCAGGTTTCTGGTCCCACGAGTTAGGACTGATGACTGGGTTTGAGCTGCCACTCATCCCCGTCCATCACCAGTATGTCATCACCGGCCCTGTGCCTGAGCTCAAGTCTCGCACGCAGGAGCTGCCCGTCATACGCGACCTGGACGGGTCGTACTACCTACGGCAGGAGAGGGACGGGATCCTGATCGGTCCGTATGAGAAGGAGGACAGGATGGAGCTACAGGACCATTGGATCAAGGATGGGGTTCCTCCAGGCTAGTGGCATACATACACACACAGGCTATGGGAATACGTGCGCAACCTCTACAAAAGGACCACCTGGCAAACATGACCACTTTTTACTTTTTTAGTGGTCCCTTAGATAATTTTTCCCATTGACACAAGCATGAAGAATCCTGTCTTTATTGACCTGTTCACATAGATCAGATGTTATTGTCATCTGAGTGGTCTTGTTGGTGTACTGGTACACCTATCCTAAATATTTAGGTGCACACAAACATAGTAAAATAAAGTAGAATGTCTTGAGAGCTGGAATCTGAAATCCTATTGCTAACTTCAAACTTTAACAAGCAATTTAACAATGTTTGTATTATTTTTTCTGATACTTAGAATATGCTGTGTATTAGTGTGCAGTACCTTTATGTCAGTGACCCTCCACAATTATCTAGGTGCACGAGTCTAGTAAAGGTTGGCTGATTTTGTTGGCCAGGCCATGGTGAGGATTTGATTGTTTTCAAATGGGCCTTCTCATGATACACACAGGTTTTGGAAAAGAATTATTCGAGTCAAATCTTGACCGCATATCGGACAACTTGGAAGCCGCCATGGAAATGGTGCCTGTGTTCCGTGACGCTGAAATCTCTCGCATTGTCTGTGGACCAATCATGTACACTCCTGACATCCTCCCACTGATGGGGCCATACAGGGCACAGGGGGTCCAGAACTACTGGTGCGCTGCAGGGTTTGGGTAAGTACTGTTTGGTTGTGGATCGAAGGTTGAGGGTTTGATTCTTGCCTTTTATTGCTCATCCAAAAACAATATATATGCTACAGTTATTGGGAAATGCTATCCTACGCTGTACTATTTCAGGGCTCCAAATACCACCTGCATATGCAGGTGCAGATGACATTGGAGTTAACTTGTTGGAGTTAAGGCCTAGGAAAAATGTTGTGTTTCCTGTTTCCCCTAGAAAAAACTGCCGACCCTAGCCTTTTTTTGTATGTGGACCCCTGCAAGGGACATAAATTTTTTGAGCAAATCAAACTTTTCTAGCTCCATGATTAATTTTGACACCTGAGTGATGAAATGTTGTACAATCGGTTTTCCAACATTGACAATGAAACTATAAGTGTCCTCATGATCATGCAAGTTTTACTTTGTTAAACTGTATTGTATAAGTTGGATGACAAGTTGGATAACTAGAGACTGCCAAAGTCTAATAAAAAAAAAGAAAGAAAAAAGATAATACCTTCCCACCGACCCTAATTTTTTCAAGATTGAAACAGGAAACATAACATTCTTTTCTAGGCCTAACTAGTTGTATTTCTGATATCTACCTGCACAAAGTGCTTTTGTTTTCGACATACATTATTGGTAAAATTGCTGATCAGAGAAGAATTCAAGGTCCCCTTGTACTACTTTGTTGACAAGTCCTACATGTAAGACCAGTCTATTCAAGGCTGCTTTGTTATGTTTCCCAAATCATTTTGGCCTTGGCAAGTACTATGCATTACAAATAATGTTTTTGTTGTTCATGGATCTTGTTTTTGTTCAGAAGATTGTACTAATAATCGATACAGAAGAATGTATCAGTGATTTTGTGTAAGTCGTCAACAAAACCTCCCTCAGTTTGGTACATATGTACATGACATAATAATCCATCATGGAGTTTTTGTTTAGAAAAATGTACTAATGGTACATAAGAATGTGATTATTAAAAAGATTGGGCCCTCTGCATCCATGATTTTGCATGAGTTGTAAGTTGGCCCTTTGTTGTGTTGTACAGGTATGGAGTGATCCACAGTGGGGTGCAGGGAAATACCTGACTGACTGGATCCTGAATGGGGAACCGCCTTATGATCTCATAGAACTGGACCCCAACAGGTAAACATATAATAAGCCTAGCCCAGAGCTTTTTAGCAATGCTGGCAAGGAAAGGGCTCTTCTAAAACATGCCAGGGCAGGGCTTGAAATATCACCTGCATATGCATGTTAGAGCTATTTAATATTGCATATTGGAGCTGTGTGGGTATTTCTGATGACCAAATTTTTACTGGGTTTATATATATACATACATACATGTAGATGTACATGTTTATGGATTTTCATTTGCTGCATTGACTGTTACTGCAATAATTCAAGAATGAAGGCAATTGTTTCTGAACAGTTTTAGTGTGTTACATACTTCCTGAATTCTGAGTGGTGCAGGTAAAAATTTGTGTGGTGCAGGGAAGTCTGCATGTACAATTTGTAAATAAGGAAGGGTGGAAATAAACTTGCAATTAGCCCTCATGCAAGAATTTGCTATAAATGTTGTTAAATCTACAGCCGTGACTGTGTTCCTGTGCTGTAGGTATGGAGAGACGTGGTGTGACAGACAGTATGTGGCGGAGAAGGCCCGGGAGTCGTACGGGTACAACAACGCCGTCGGGTACCCCAAGGAGGAGCGGTTTGCAGGTCGCCCCACAGCCAGGGTCAGCGGGATCTACCAAACACTGCTGGACAAGGGGGCTGACATGGGCTTCCATGCAGGTGAGAGACAGGCTTAAAGTGTTGAACTTTGGAAGGGCTCAAACTTGTCGGATGTATTTTAAAGTCTGGCACAATCTAGTTTATCTAGTTTTCTGCTAGCCCGAAAAGTGGTAAAATCTAGTTTTTAATTGAATTATATAGTTTCCTGCTTGTTTGACCCACTTAAGTCTGGTCCAAAATCTGCAGACCTCAGTGATAACGTTGAATACACGCAGAAGAATTTCTTGAAGAACCTTTCCAATGTCTCCTTCACTGAGAGCTAATAGTTGCTCACTGTTATGGATAAACAACATCCTCTATATTGTTTCCTTTAATTTCAAGGTTTCTTTGTCATTTTGTTGTATGATTTTTTTAAAGTTTAATCTGTAAACAATTACAGATATTTTGATTTGAACAGTCAGCATCTGTATGTAACAAAATGGTTTCGTGCCTGTGCTTGTACAATTACAGGTTGGGAGCAGCCCAACTGGTTTGCTAAAGAAGGTGACACCCCCGGCTACCGTCCCAGCTTCAGACGCACCAACTGGTTCTATCCGGTCGGGAGGGAGTGCGAACTGGTTCTATCCAAGGCTGGGGTCATTGACCTGACTCCGTTCGGAAAGTTTGAGATCAAAGGTCCCGATTCAGTAAAGTTTCTGGACTACCTGTGTGCAAACAATGTGCCAAAGGTAGGATGGGGGGGATTTGTAGTGTATTCTTTATATTACAACAAAACTCTGGTTGTACTTGATGTTGTAAGATTTTATATTTAGGTAATTTTAGTATTATTTGCATTTTTTATGTATGTTATTTTTTGTGCTTTCTGCCTAGCATATATAATTCATCTGATATTGTTAAATTGGCTGCAAGACATCCCCGTTGACATATACAGTAAATGAACAATAATTTTGACAGACAGTAATGGTACTTTTTTGGCTCACATACATTGTGAATAATATGTAATAAGATAGTCCTGTTTTCCAGTAATGACATATGTATTACAATTTTTGTGCAATAGTAAGCTGAATGACTTAATAAGTGAACTGTGGTAGTTAGCATTGCAGTGTGGCAGTATTGTTTTCTCTTTTTCTGTTTGTAGTGTGGGCATTTAACAGTTATCTATTTTCATGTCTTGGCACAGTATAAATAATAATAGAAAAAATAATTCCAAAGATCAGACAGGCAGCATTATTTTTCATTTATTCTCCAGACTGGGAAGACTTGTATCAGTCACATGTTGACTCCTAGAGGACGGGTGTATGCTGAGTTGACCATCTCCAGACTAGGAGAGGACCGACTTCTTCGCTATTACAGGATCAGGATCGGAGTTCCATGATCTAAGGTTAGTCAGTGCAGGTGTTTTTTGTGGTGTCGAGTGGCTAGAGATTGAGAGGCTGTAGGTTCAATCCCACTCAGGTGTAAAATGGGTACTTGACTTTGATTGAGTATGTAGAAGAGCACACCACACTTATGGAAAAGAGTAGGGGTACATGTACGTCCCAGTGTGACTGGTTCAAAACTTACAGACCAGTGTTATGCAGCTTGTACCTTACTGTACAAAACTGGTTTTATGCCTAAAGGCGGTTTACTGGCCATTCAAAACAAACAAACAAACATCATTGACTTCAAACCCACAGGTGGATAGAGGACCATGCCCTGAAAGGAGGCTACAACGTCACCATCTCCAACATTACTGATGAGATGGCTTGCCTCGGCATTGCTGGCCCTCGTTCCAGAGACATCCTGGAGAAGCTGACCTCAGGTGACCTGAGCGAGGACGGGTTCAAGTTCCTGGCTGTCCATGACATCAGTCTGGGGGGAGTGGATGTCAGAGCTATCAGGATATCTTACACTGGTAAGGCAGGCTCAAAATCCTTTTTTTCTACATGTCTTCACTGGTGCAGATAACACTGAAAATTCAACTTGTACCACTCAGAATTTAGAAACCATGGGTCATACTAAAAACTTTACAGAAACTATTGTTTTATTTATTGTTATATTATTTTTTACATTTACATTTTTTTTACTCTTCATAGGTTGACAATTTTTTTACCCTTCATAGGTCGACAATGGAAATCCACCTACACTGTATTCAGAATGATGTTCCAAATGCAACATAACTTAGATGTCTTTGATTTAGGTGAGCTGGGCTGGGAGTTGTACCATGCCAGAGAGGACACAGCCCGGTTGTATGAGGCCCTGATGTCGGCAGGACAGGAGTTTGGGCTGGGCGACTTCGGCACCTACGCCATGGGCTCCCTCAGGCTGGAGAAGGGCTTCAGGGGGTGGGGGGCTGAGGTGAGAACAGGGTGTCAAAGTTCTTCCAACTGCATTTTTCCTTTTAGATATGATATTTCCGGCGCAACAGTCAGTTCATCAGTGAGGAAAGTAAACCATCTTGTAAAATCAACTTATTTCTAAATTTCTTTCAGATGACAGTTGACAATAATCCTCTGGAAGCAGGCCTGGATTTCTTTGTCAAACTCAACAAGGTAGGTGTTTCCATCATATCTCAGTCCGTGTGTTATCATCATCTTTTTTGATGATCTTGATCTAAAAAAACATAAAAACAGAACCAGGGAACCAGAGGTGAAACTATGTCTTTAGATTGGTAGACAGTTTTGTGAAAGGCATATTGTCTCAAGCCTCCATTACGGTCTTGCTCAGAATTGCCTGATTTTTACTACAAATAATACAAAGACAAGAATTTACCACTGTATGAATAAGTTAGGTCCTTCTTCATTCTTCCTCTTCATGTTTCCTTACCAAATCTCATTTTGCTGAGGGCTCAGGCACAGGGGTTGTAGGCATAAGGATTTAAGGTTTAGATGGCAAGCCTTATAGCCAGTTATAGTCCATTGTGTAGTGTCTTCTTAAGAAACAAGGAGGTACTGTGTTCAGCCTGCAGACTTCATCGGTAAGGCGGCCTTGCAGCAGCTGCAGCAGGAGGGTCTGACCCGGAAGCTGGTGTGTCTGACTGTGGAGGTGGAGGAGGACGGTCCTGATGCTGAGGGGAACGAGACCATCTGGCACCAGGGGGAGGTCAGTATCCCCGTCATCACCAGGGCTTTCTTCATCAGTTCATTCAAAATTTGGATGGCATTGAGGAGTCATTAACCTCCACTAGAATGCTTCCAAGTAAAACATATGTTCCTTAGGTATGTGTGTAAATAGTTCAAATTCCTGAGGAATTGCTAGAATTTTTCCAAACAGGTAAGATACAATGTATTATACTCTATTAACCTTGCTTAAATCAACCATGGCTGACAGATCCCTGTGGAGTACGGTTGTGCAGCAGCTAACCCCGCCCGACAGGGACGACAGATGATGATGATGAAGCTTTCCACTTGGCATCACAAAAAAAAGCACTGATGGAATATACTTTTTTCTCCAGGTTGTTGGGAACACCACATCAGGAGCATATGGTTACCAAGTCCAGAAGTCCATAGCCTACGCCTACGTTCCTTTGCATCTGTCGGAACCAGGCACCGTGGTGGAGGTGGAGTTGCTAGGCAGCCACCGCCGGGCAACAGTGCAGCAGGAGCCTCTGGTCCAGACAGAACCAGTTCGGACAAGACTTGCCAGGAAAAAGTCAGCACAGACAGCCAGGGGCAAGGTCACCATGTGATGGAGTCTGACTGGATGCAATACTGCTAGATTCTGATATTGAACAAGGAACAACAATTCTACATTTTGTATCTCAGTATCTGAGGTCTCCATAAGAGTTGTTCATTCTATTTCTAACATAGTTTTTCAAGGAAAAAAGAAATCTGCTCAATTATGAGAAGATATAGTCATTATCAAATGTCTTATGATGATGAATTATGGGTGTAAGCATCATCAGGTCAGTAGACAAAATAAGTTCAATTGGAGTTTCACAACTCATTGTAGAACATATTTCCCAGTGATGGACCAATCATGGAAAATTGTGTTTTACACATGAGCCTGTTTGGGGTGGACGTCCATTGTCATCACCCTTTTTAAATTGAGAGCACTTTACATTTCCCATCATCCTAATTCAGGCATTTGTGCCTTTTAAAGGGCTATTTCCAATGTTTTAGTTCAGTGAGATAGTTCTTTCAATCAGTGACTATTAAATCCTAAGGTACTTGTCCAATGTTTTATTTTTATCAGTATTTTCATATAGCATAGCAAGAATTAATTAAATGGCTTGGAACAGAAAAACTGCAGTTGAGTAGATCTGCTCCATATGATAGGGATTTTGGGAAATAATATAAAGAGGGTGTCATATCATATGAAGTTTGAATCTTGGGGTGACCTACAACAGTAGAAATGTTGAAGGCTGTCACTTGACTTTACGCACAGTTGACCAGGTAGACTGAACTTAACGAAGTGCAGATGGAAAACACTGTTGCCATTTTACATGTAGCAAATGTTTTATTCATGATGTAGAGGATTTGTTCTCTCTATTTGGAAGAGAATAGATAAAAATGTGTAATATCACATATCTGTGTATAAGGAAAGACAAGCGTCTTGACAAGCTTGCGAAGAGTTATCCTTACTCTAGTATATGTTTTTGCTCAATCAGTATTTCCCAGTTTGATACCAGCATTAACCTACAATCAGCTGATTATGTGACCGTACATCGGGTATTCTCAGATACCTGTTGTTGTTGTTGTTGGGCCTGCAGAAAATCTGAAATAATTTAGTACAAGTGCCACAAATAGACTGCCTTCCATTAAACTTTGTTTTTACTTACAAGTTTGATGAGTTATATATACAACAGCCAATGAAACAACACGGTGTCCTGTGCACGTGTTGATCTAACCCCAGGTATAGAAAAGACTGGGAAGTCCATGGGTAGAATGATGCCTTTATTTCAGTTCTTTTATTTTTGTAGTGAAAAGTAAGGAAATCACATTGTAGAACAGAGAATAATGATATTGCTATTTTCGACACAATATTGCCAGGAGACGGGATGAGAGAAAAACGTAAAAGGGTAACGTCTGTGAAGCGTACGGGGTGCCTTTAGTAAAGGAATACAAAATATAACTAGAAAGGCCAATATTTGCTTTGGAGCAAATACAGCGATGGGTTCACCACATTTTACGACATGGCAGGGAAAGAATGAGAAACACAAGGGAAAACAATGATTTACATTGATATAACTATAATATGAAGTAACATACAACTAAAACAACAGTTGGATAGCTATTCCCTACTTTATTGGTTAGGATTTTTAATTGCATAATGCAAACTGTTGATTTTCAAAATAAATAAAAAAACGTTCATGCCCCGCATTCCAATGCTGGAGCAGAAAAGCTTGAAATACCTACCAAAACACTTGAATAAAGACATACTGTCAGTATGGAAATGCTCTGTGCAGGTGTTAATCAAGTTAAACCCCAACAGCCAATCAGCAAGAAATGCTCTGTGAAGGTGGAAATGCTCTGTGCAGGTGTTAATCAAGTTAAATCCCAACAGCCAATCAGCAAGAAGTATAGAGGAAAGCTGCATGCCTATTGGTTGATGCCCTGCATTCCATTGTGATGACTCATGCCCAGACGTGGTAAACACGGCACACTAACACAGTAATACATTTGCTATAACACAGCCAAAAAACTCAAAACCATTTTAAAAGCCTGTATCACAAAAATTTAAAAAAAGCCTAGGGGTATTTGCCCACTGTACCTCCATACCAAATTTCAGGACCTCAGGCCCTAAAAT